CAGATGGAAAAAAGCACTGCTGAAATTCAGCCATTTTGTCACCAAATGTTTGTGATGCAATCAGGGGTGGGATATGACTGGTACGCCCCAGTACAGGTGTTCTGGTGACTGCTGGGAGCACCAGATACCGTTCCGGTACAGTGCTCTGGAGGACCCGCCTGCTCGCCTGCTCACCTTACCTGCATTTGAGCCGATTGGGGCTTATGCGCACACGCATGGAGCGTATGGCGCCTGTGCAACACTCCACCGAGCAGCTGGAGTGTCACGGAGCCATTGCGAAGCATCGTGGGCAGTATGTATACATAGGCCCATGCATGTGGTGGATACCCGGCCCCATTGCCCCATACTGTTGCAACGGGATCCAGAACCCACCACTGATGCATTCCTTCATTAAAACAAACAGATGGGAAAAAACCACTGCTGAAATTCAGCCATTTTGTCACCAAATGTTTGTGGTGCAATCTACAGAGGCCATATTCAGCCCATGAGCTGAATGATGCTTCTCTGCTCTGCCTTCCCTCCCTAACTGATAGAAATGTTTAATAATTTTAAGCCATTTAGGAGATTTCACAGACAACCCCAACCTCAGTCCTACTACTTTCTAATCACTTTCATCATCCTGTTTAAACAAAGAACAAAAAATCTGTCGGGCATGATTTCCCTTTTTAATTTAAGCAACATGCAGAGAACTTCTGCTTCACCCTGCCTTCCAGTCACTGAGCATAAATGAGTCATTTGCCCACTCATGCACAGGTACACATACAAATAGGAATCCTACATTGCAACTTACTGCTTTGGCTGCAGACTCTTCTGCCTTCAATATGAATTCATTTCCCACAGAATGCAGGCAGCCTATATTGAATAACAAGGGAGGACACTCTCAATTCATTTTCCCCTTTCTGTATATGGGACAAGGGGATTTCTATTTCTTTCTGAATCCCTCTGTAGTTGTTCAGCTGGAAAAATACAGAGCCCATGTGGATGTCTACTAGTCTTTCAAGGTCACAGGAATGAATACTTTGGAGAAGCTGGGAAATGAAAGTGGTATCGTGTGTCCAATCCCTATTACAGTAAAAGTTCCAAAGAGTCTTACAATCACTTTCTTTACTTATATTTAAGATCCTGTGAGCCTTTTCACTCTTTGTAAGATATAAAGGACTATTCCTGAGATAAGCAACCCAAAGTTGACTTCTCTTCCTCTTTCCCCTCATATAATACAGAACTTTGGTCAACACGATGTCCAGTTTTGGTTACCATGATGTAAAAAAGATGTTGAGAGACTCTAGAAAGAGTGCAGAAAAGAGAAACAAAGATGATTGGGAGACTGGAGGCTAAAACATATAAAGAACGGTTGCAGGAACTGGGTATGTCTAGTTTAATGAAAAGAAGGANTAATGACCATTTAAATGCAATTTCTGAATAACAGCCTTCTGAAACATCTTATTCAATCTCAATACTGAGTCTATACAGTAAATCTGTAAGCTCTGTGTCTTGAAAGTCAGATTCTTTTAACACCTGACTTAGCTTAGCATTTCATGACACATTGTTAAATGTATTTGTGTTAAGTATTATTTATCTTACTTTTCTATTCAAAAATCATTCAAATGTCCATCTACTATACCTGTAAGTTAATATATGATATTCCTTTTTATGGTCATGTGTGGCCCACATAAGTAATACTTATCTCTCAATTTTGACAATCTGTATAAAACATAATTAATTTCCTTCTTTTGGAGACTGGGAACTATTTCACAACTTTTTTTCTTAGGAAGAAAATCATCACTTATTATAACTTTGTGGATTTAGTTATGCCACTCTCTGTAAACCAACAGAAGTGGCATTTTGAAGCTGAGTAAAATCAGAGCCAGGGTCATTTTACAAAGGCCAATTAGACCATGTAATAATCACAACTGAGAATATAATCACTAATAATCACTGCCAGCCATTTTTACCTCCAAAGGTGGATACGGCTGCATTCCCAGATTCTGTATTTCTACCGTTCCATTCCCAGGCATGGAGGTAGATGTGCTGTAGACTTCTGCCACTCCCCTGCTACCTGGATTGGCCGGGCCTGGCACTCCAAGGGCTCGAGGAGGTGGAGGGGGTGGCTGGGGGGGTGGAGGAGGTGGGGGAGGCTGAGAGAGGTATCCTGCTCCAGGATGCATATTCAAGCTGCTCTAAAAACAAAGAATGAGAAATTAGTCTTCCTTCCTTCCTCCCCTTTTTGATCCATAAATAGGAACAATATTTGCAAGAAGATTTTAACCTTCCTTCTTTAACCAAGGTCAGTATCAATACCCATATTTTTCTGCATACTAGCAAAAAAAATATCTATAAATCTATTTATATTTATTTAATAATGAAGGGATCTTTTTAAAGGAATAAACGTGTCAGCTTACATTTTCAACGTAACAATATTATTACATCAAAGAAACTGAATTACGGACCACAAAAGATAAAAAATGCCTCAAGTCAAGGTCAATCCCTGGTTCATTCACATATATTTGTAGATTTTTTAGGTAGCAACATTAATACAATTCTATGAATGATGAATGGTTGGGAATGGATGGTTTAAGGTATTTCCAATATATTTTATGCATGTGAAGCACCCTGCGTTTCAAATTGCATTTTGTCCTTCAGATTGCTGCCCAGCCCTTCTACACAACATTATGCATACCGTATGTGTTCATCAGACATTAAACATTCTTTTCCAACATACATGTATTAATTTTTGTTTTTATAGCACATTCCAATTGCCAGTGCTTACGTGTGTTTTAAATGGCAGGAAAAAGAATATTTACCTGCACAGTGGGTTGCACTGTGGACATTGGCTGGTCCAGGGTTGTGAAAGCAGACATGGCTGACATCAAAACCTCATCACTCACTAAGATGTTCCCTTGGACCAGTGTTTGGATCAAAGGAGAGGGTGGAACAGTAATATATGTAGAGATCTGTTGAGCAAAATGGATAAAACAAAAACTTGCAATGGATATTAGCTAAGACACTTTTCAGAAAATTCTTCAGTAACACATAGAAACGAAGTAAAACAACTCATTCAGTAAACTACTCACTATAAGAAATGAAGTAAAAATGAAAATTTTGTAAATAAACCTCTCCAATTAAATTATGTAGCATAGTACAAAGGGTAAAATATTGTTCCGCTGGCAATTAGTCATTAAACAGGAGGAAATCAGGTTTTTATTTCAGATATTGTATTGCAGCCTTCCCAAACTTAGACCCTAAGCCCATGATGGTGAACCTATGGCATATGTGCGAGAAGTGGCACACAGACCCATTTTTCCGGGCACACAAGCTGTTACCCGTTGCTCTTCCGGGTTCCAGTGTGACGGTCACCTGGTTTTCACGCATGCAGGAGCGTCACAAACTGGAAGACCAGACATCTGGTATGCATACACGTGCCAGAAATTGGAACATCATCTTCCTGGCACATGCATGCGCACCAGCTGGCTGCTTTCACACACGCATGCATGCCAGAAACCAGACGACCAGGCAGCTGGTTTCTGGCACGTGTGCACCACCCGGGTCCCCTTTCGGCACTCAATGCCGAAAAGGTTAGGCAACACTGCCCTAAGCCCACCCATTCTAGAAGTTGCAGCAGCTTAAAATCAGCTAACTCCACTGCCAATTCTCATACTGAGTCCACTGCCTCTGTTTCACAACACAACAGTCATCAACTTCTCTCTAAGGCAGAGGCCCCCAACCCTGGGCTGCAACCATTACCAGGCCGCAATGTGTTCGGAACCCAGACGCGCAAGCGGTGGGCGAGTGAGCATGTACACGCATGCCTGCCACTCATAGAGAGCAATCCCCTCCCCCCCCCCAATCTGTCAAACCAGAAATATTGGGAATTGCTGCTTTAAGGTAATGGATGACAACTACTAGCAGGTTTTACACATGTTGAGACTGACTTTGGAATATAAGAGGAAACACTGGTATGTTTAGTACACAGGTATGCTAAAGTACAATTGGTGACCCAACCACAAAAAGTTTAAACATTCATCATCTCTACCTGACGATTGGTTGTCTGAGCCTGCTGCACTGAGGTAATGGACGGGGTATACACACTGTTAGTAGCTAGGGAGACTGTAGCCAGTGAGGGGGCATTGCCTTGACACTGTTCCCGCTTATGAGTCATGAATGCTGGCAATGAGTTGAATTGCTTCTTACATTTCCCACAGAGAAATACATCTTCATCATCTGAAATTAGGGAAAGAAAAAAAAATTAACCCCAAAAAGACAGAGTTTCAGCCAAACAAAGTGATAAGAAATAATTAACTAAAATTGTCAAGTTCCAGTTAGGAGAATGCTTAGCTTTCTCACAGCAAGCCACATATGAAGTCCCCAACACATATTCTATTCATTTAAAAACTGTTCAAAGTTATGACGGTGCTGAAAAAAAATGGCTTACCCTACATTCCTTGCATTTACAACTGCTGCAGTGTCCCACAGTCACGTGACTGCAATTCGGACACTTGGCAACAAACATGTATTAGTGACAGTTGCAGCATCCAGAGAAGTCAGCAGGAAAAGTTGCAAATGGCAATCATGTTGTGCAGGGGTGGGTTTCTGCCGGCAATACTACCCGTTCGATGCACGTGTCATTTTGCTCTGAATGCGTGCACAGTTGCCTATAAATAGATCTGCACATGTGCAGAACATTTTAAAAGGTTTTAAAAAGATGTTGTGGCGACCGGGGAACCAGTTTGGGGGGGTGGCGAGCATGCAGTTCCTACTGGTTCAGAGACCCAGTCGCCATTTCCACTACCGGTTCCACCAAACAGGTAGGAACTGGTAAGACCCATCTCTGATGTGATGTCTCACTTAACTACCATGGTGATTCGACCATAGCATGAAAAGGCTGGAGATAATAAGTGGGTCATAAGACTCAACCTGTTTCAGAAAAGGCTACACTCCCCTAAATGGTCCAATTTGTACGCTGGACATGCTTTTAGATTCATCTCTATAGGCTCAGGCACACATAATGCCTTTCATTGACCAACATTGCAACAACAGCCATGATGCTACAAAAATAGTCTCGTATCAATAAACCCTGCTTGGTTAATCTGTCATCTAGATTGCCATAATCCATTATATATTGGATTGTCTCTGAAAACCATCCAGAAGTTCTCACCAAATTTGGCAGTAAGAGTACTGACTGGAATTGGAGGTTATAACATTATGCCAGTTTTATGCCATCTTTATCTGGTCATAATTTTTTTTCTGACTGCAGTTGATGAGATGTTAACCTCTAAGGTCCTGCATGGTATAACACCATGGTATTTAAACAAAATTTCAACTAGTATGATTTTAGCCACACAGAATGCCTGAGTGTGGCAGGTAATTTCTCAGATGTGGGCCTTCTCAATGGTAATCCTCCAAACCTGAAATGCTTGGAACCTATTTTATTATCAACACTAGGCAGTAAACGTTCTTAATTGTCACAGGTCTTTTAATATATTCATGATAACATATTACAATACAGGAAACTACTCAGAGCCTTTTTGGAATTGAGTAGCATATAAATTGCAGAAATAAATAAATTAGAATTGGATGCACTACACAGAAATTACTTAGTAATGTATTTGTTATTGTGTTTTTATTGTGTTTTTATACTATGTCTTTCTGTGTTTGTTTTTAAAATATCACCTTAATTTCTAACTGTCCTGGGAAAACACTATCCTGAATCAGCACGTGTCTGTTAAAAAAAGAAAAGTAAACAAAACCAAATAAAGTGCTATCTTATGCTAAATGAATGTATGTTAATGGCAGCAAGGTGACAATACATAGCAAATTCACTGCCCTACTGCTAGTAAACATAAAATCGTTTCATTAATACTGTTTCGGGATCATATAGCTCTTCGAATACCTGGGATAAAAGAACAAAGCAGTAGTGCATGCATACACTCACCCACACTGGAACCAATTACTATGTTACTGCCCATCACAAGGAGAAGCAACAAAGAAATCCCAATTGAAGACTCACCCATGGACTGGATGGAGGAAGATGTGTTGACTGTCTGTGATGATGGATCTGTAACACCTCCTTGGCCATCTAACAAGGACTGAACAGCTAGCACTGTCTGATTATCCATTCCTGGAGGGAATAGAAATAGCAGTCAGAAAACCTGTATTACTTCCAGGAAAAAAAATATGAAAAAAACAACTGCAATAAATCCTACTTCAGCACATTAACTTCCATGTTATTTCTAGGTTTCTTACAATGTAGGGATCTTTGTTAACTGTACTTAATCAGACCTGATCACAGTTTAAACTATTGAGCTGTAATCGGGTTTGTTTACAACTATGGTCACACAAACACTTTTTTTCTCCCTCAAAACTGCCACTTCTTTCCTTCCACTAGATAGGTTCTTCTTTTTCTGGTTCCAGTGTGGCAATCCCCAGACTCTGGGCTTTTTTAAAAAAGATTTTTTGAATTAGTGGGTTAGTTTAAGGCCCGATATGACCTGCCTTCAACATTACAACCATTCTCACAATCAGGTGATCGCAATTTTGATACTTGGCAACTGGCTTACATTTACAATGATTGCAGCATTTTGCAGTCATGTGATCATGATTTGCAATTTTCCCAGCTGGGTTTTGACAAGCAAAGTGAATTTGGGGAGTCAGATTTGCTTAAGGATCATGAGGAGAAAAGGTTATAAAATTTGTCCTGGTCATTTGATGATTCACATAACAACCACATTTGTTGTTGTTGTGGCTGAAATTCTGGTTCCAATCGTGGTCATAAGTCAATGCAGTTTACCATACTGTCATTTTATCCCGTATTGTTTAACATTAATTTTATATATATATAAAATTATATATATATATACTGGTTCGATTCCCAGTAAGGGTATGGCTAGCTGATGAGAGCTAAATAGCTTGAAATAGATCTATACTAGTCTCCCTTTATTTATTTATNTTCCAGAGGGCCGGAGCTGCCACAGAGAAGGCCCTCCCCCGGGTGGTAGCCAGGTGGCATTGGCTGGTAGACGGGACCCTGGTTCTAAGACTATTTAGTTATAGGAATTTCTTTTCTTTTCTTTGGCCTTACAGTTATTGATGGAAAGATTGCTATTGTTAATTAGTTTTTGAACTTTGCAATCATCCTGTTCTTACCAGCAGGAGCAGATGTGGTGGAAGAGGTCCTTTTTGTAATCTCCATTTAGTGAAGAATCCTCTAATTCATGTCTTTGTCATTACTGAGCTGGATAATGCAAATATTGGGAACTGCACTTAATGACTAAAAGCTGTCAATATCAATCCTTTTTGCTTCCTGTACTCTTGCAGATTTAAGCAGACCAGACAAGTGTAATCCTCAATAGTATTTGATCCACACACATTTAAAGAAATGTCTCTTTTCCCCTGATGGGGGTGGAGACCATTTTCAGATCAACCTTTTTGGGAATATCTTTTTTTTCCCCTTCTTGTTTGATGTCTTTTAAGTCATTTTGGACTCTAATCAGCCTGCTGTTTTCTTGGCAACATTTTTGGCTTGCCCTTGCCTTCTTCCTAAGGTTGAAGGAGAGCAATTGGCCCAAGGTTACCCATTTGGCTTTGTACATAAGGTAGGACTAGGCTTCATAGTCTCCTGCTTTTTAGCCTGGTGCCTTTAACTGTCACCAAACTGGCTCTCGGGAACATCAGGTAACTGCAAAGCAAAGTATGATTCTCACAACTCATAAAATTATCTGCTATATCTGACTTCCATGCCCCATTCTATTTACTCAGCTCTGTCTACCAGTGCTAATAGAAAAATAGAAATACTACAGGTTATAGAATAACGGAAGGGACCTTGTAGGTTGTCTAGTCCAACCCCCTGCTCAAGCAGGAGACTCGACACAATTTCTGACAGATGGCTGCCCATTGTCTTCTTGAAAGCTTCCAGTGGTGAAGTACCCACAACTTCCAAAGGCAAACTGTTTCCTTGGTTGATTGTTCTCACTGTCAGAAAATTTCTCTTTATTTCTAGGTTAAATCTCTTTTTGATCATTTTCCACCCATTGTTCCTTGTCTGGCCTTCGAGTGCCTTGGCCAATAGGTTGACCCTCTCCTCTATGTGGCAACACCTCAAATACTGGAAGATTCTATCATGTCATTCCTGGTCCTTCTCTTCACTAGACTAGCCATGTCCAGTTCTTGCAACCGTTCCATTTTTTAGCCTTCAGTCGCCAAATCATCATTGTTGTTCTTTTCTACTGTGGGTTTTTCTTTTCTTTAATGCTCCTCTTTGGTATTTGTATTAATCATACCATCTCTTGTAACTGTATTTCAAAATTGTCATCTGTAAATCTTGCACAAAGTTGGCTGTTGACCAGAGGCTGTTTCCCCCCAGAAAAACTATGCATGCACACTAGATAATTCCCAAGAATAATGCTGCTGTGTGCACTTGTCCCTGAAATTAATCTGCTTAGATTAATAGTCATACATATAGCTGGGGAGGAGCGATTCCTTCAGGTATATGCAGGCTTAAAAGATGTATGCAACGAAAAGGAATGTGATACTTTGCCCCCTCACCACACCACAGATTGTGCAGTGGAACTACTCCCTGGGGCTAAACTGCCAAAGCCCCGAATATATTCTATGACCCTGCAATAGCTAGCAGAAATGAGGGCATACATAAAAAAGAATTTAAAAGGAGGCTTTATTCAGCCAGCTAGATCAAGGGTGGCTGCCCCCATTCTTTTCTGGGAGAAAAAGGATGGCGGCTTACTCCTCTGTGTTGACTCTCGGGGCCTTAATGCCGTCTGTGTGGAACATCTGTACCCTGTCCCTTTAATGAAGGACATGCTGGCTAGGTTAGCAGAGGGATGCATATTCACGAAATTAGATCTCAGGGAGGCATACTATAGGGTATGCATTCGGGCTGGTGATGAATGGAAAACAGCCTTTAATTGTTCTCTAAGCAGTTACCAGTTCCGGGTTATGCCCTTTGGACTGCAAGGAGCCCCAGCAATGTTCCTGCAGCTAATTAACGAAGTGCTGCATGAGCATCAGAATCAAGGGGTACTCGTCTATTTAGATGATATTCTTATATATACCAAAAACCATGGAGGAACATGTAATTCTTGTACGTCAAGTGCTTAAAAAGCTGCTGGACGCAC